CAAGGCGACACTCGTTTTCAAGGGATATTGCCAGGGAGAAGGCATCGACTACGAAGAAACCCTCATACCAGTTACAAGGTTGGAATTTGTTTGCATCTTCTTGGAATATGCACACACAAGAACTTCGAAGTATTTTAGATGGATATCAAATGTGCATTCTTGAATGGGGAAATTAAAGAGACAGTGTATGTGGAGCAACCACCTGGTTTCGTAAACGAAAAGTATCCTAATCACTTTTACATCCTAGACAAAGCAGTTGATGGACTGAAGCAAGCTTCAAGAGCATTGTACGAAACTCTCACTCGCTTCTTGAAAATGTCTAAATTTAAATAAGGTTCGGTTGACCCAACCTTCTTTCGTAAGAAAGAGGGTGACCACTTAATGATTGTCCAAATCTACGTTGATGATATTATCTTTGGATCAACTAATCCAAGCTTAACAGTTGAATTCCAAAATTTAATGGAAATGAAATTTGAGATGAGCTCCATGGGTCCAATTACCTTTTCCCTTGGATTGAAGATTAGACAGAGTCAAGAAGGTATCTTTATTAATCAGGAAGCTTACAAGAAGAATTTTCTTGCTATGTTTGGGATGGCAGGTGACTCAAAGGTGAAAATTCACATGGCATTCAAAATGAAACTTACTCCATCTCTGGATAAACTGGTTGTAGACATAATATACTGTCGTCAAATGATAGGTTCTTTAATGTATCTAGCTGCTAGTCGAACATATAATCATGTTTTATGTTTGCTATTGTTTTAGGTTTCAAGAGAATCCTCGAGAACCTCACATGACGGCTGTCAAGAACATATCCTGGTATCTAAAACAAACATCCTCACTTGGAACATGGTACCCATCGAAATTTGGTTTCCTTGTGCAAGCAACTTCGGATGCTGATCTTGGAGAATGCGGGTTAGATAGAAAGAGTACAACTGGAGGATGTCAATTTCTTGATGGAAAATTTGTCAGTTGGCAATCCAAAAGGCAAACCTGTGTTTCCTTGTCAACAGCTGAAGTTGAATATATTGATGTTGCATCATGCACTTCCCAGGTCAAATGGATTCAAAGTTAACTTTATGACTATGGCCTGAATATGAAATGAATCCCATTATATTGTGACTCCGAAAGTGTCATTTGCATTTTTCACAATCCAGTGCAACAATCAAAGACAAAACACATAGCACTGAGATATCATTTTATCAAGGATCGTGTGGAAGATTGCAATGTTGAAATACATTTCGTGAGATCCGCTAATCAATTAGCTGACACATTCATGAAAGCCTTACCTGAAACAACCTTCAATAGAATTCTTCAATACCGAGGAATGATGGAAGCTGAACATGTTCCGATACCTCTTTTGCATTCTTAAAGTTATCGTTGTGAATCGGTGCGAATGCTCGCAGTGATTCGCAGTCTACTTTGACACTACGAATCGGTGCAAACGCTCGTAGTGACTCGCAGTCCACTATTCATTCGTGGTTCGGATCATCCTGTATCCTTTTGTATATTATGTATATTATCTTTTATCATAGTTTCGTTTTTGAGTTACTTCTATTTTTAATTCTTTTTTAGAAAATCCCAAAATTCAAAATTATTTTATTTCTTTCTGTTTTATTTTTTTCAGAAAACCAAAAATACAAAAATATTTTCTTTGTGTTTATTTTTATTTTCACAAAAATATAAAATATCAAAAATATCAGATAATTGAGAAGTTCTTGAATAAACACATTCGTAATCATTCTCAGTTCACATGATGGGGCAGGTATAAATCTTTTTACCTATATACTAGCTAAGTGTCCCTAGAAGCATGTTGTTGTATGTTGACTGAAGCCTCAGCGACTCTATGTTGAAGCCTTAATGAATCGATTCTACTAATCGTTTCTTCCCAATCAAGCTGCAAATTCACAGAAGTCATGAGCTACCTTAGTCTTCTCACTTTGATTTTAGAGTTGTCTGCTTGGTCACTTTCGCATAGCAGAGGTACGCTTGAGACTCTCAGACATTACCACTGAGGTTTATGGTTACACAACATCTATGTTAATGATCTTGGTTTTGTTCAACCACGAACTGAGTGAAACCCAAAATTCAATACACTTTTATGAATTGATGATGAACAGTTAAATGTTCTAGATTTTTCACCAAGGAATTAACGAAAATCCACTTTTGTGGACTGTACCAAGAAATCTCTTTTTATTTTGCAACATCTTAATGAAATGTTCTAGACCTAAGATGTTTCTATACAAAAGATCTAGTTTTGATTTTTTATTTTTTATTTTTTGAGATTTCAATGCGAATCCATGTCACTAAGATAATTCCAAAGCCACTTGTTCAAATGACTACACTAGTCACACAAGTACTTTATCCGAACGTTCGTACTTATATCAAGTTTAGAAGTTTGGTTGAAGATAAAGTCACCCAGTAAGCCTAAAGAAAAGATGCCTTTCATTATTTCTTAATAAACAGGTGATCGTAATTCAATGGGAAACCACACGGACACTTCTTAGTCTCTCTTGACTTCGAAGGGAGAGATCTTTGCCCGGGATTTACTGTTTCGCGTCTTAAACAAGACATCACTAAAATCCTACGCATATGTATTGCTTTATTTCTTTATCATTGGCACACTCTTGCACGAAGATCCTTGTGATTTTCAAAAGTCTGGTTCATGGTACTCACATTTATTGTCAGTTTCGCAGTTCAACCCAAGTTTACTTAAAAGCGAAAGTTTGTATCTATATGCGAAAGGTGGAATGCAATTTAACTGCGAAAGGGTGAAGCTGAAGCGGAAATTTCTTATGGATAGAAATTCAAATGGGCACGTGAAAATTTGAATGGACTTCTACTTTACCGTCACCTAACGCACGCTTCTGACGCAACAGTTGTCAAGTCGCGCTTTTACAGGTGACTTTTCAGTACCCGATATAATCTTTCTCCATATTTTTCTCACCAAACAAACGGTATAAAGGTTTTTTGATGCTACATATCTCTTTAGCACTCAAAAATATTCTCAAAGAATTTTGACGATCAAAAAGCTCTTAAATGTTCATCATATTCTTCTTCAAGAAATCATCAATGGCGAGTTCATCTGAAACTCCTTCTATCCAAGAACAAACAGGGCAGTCATTGCTTATTTCCATTAAACCCAATCAAAATCTGGTGATCGATCTTGATCCTTACAAGTATGACAATTATCTTCTTCCTATTCTTGAATGCCTGAAGTACTCTCCACTCATTACTGCTCCAACCAAGACAGAAAGCATCCTGATGTCTTTTCTTTCGAAAGCTTACTCTTCTACAAATTATCTCAAAGAAGAATAGAGAATCAATTTTGAAGTACTCAACAGAACAACATCCATTAGCAAATCTCCCTTTTGCTCAGTCTTAGTGCTTGCTCAAACTGATGACATGATTAATCATGAATCTGTCACTAACTCATCCCTTCTGGAATGGGCTCTTTACCCTATTGTTCAAGGCTTTCTCTGAACGGGTAACGGGATCGTATTATGCTAGTAAGCTTTTTATGGCGATTATCTATGGGATTTACATAGAGCTCAACATTGATTTTGGAGATGTTCTCTGGGCACAAGTTATTCAAAGGACTCACTCTACTACTCGTCACAGGGAAATTTCTTGTGCATGCTTCTGGATTGTTATTGTTCAAAGGGAAATCGACAAGCTTCAAATTCCAGTTATGCAAGATTCGTTGATGTCTTCTATTTCAACCTTTCACACTACTGGCATTATTCTTGCTAAAAAATCCAAGTTCACATTTGTTCACTCGATTCCTGAAGCCATGCTTCATGATGTGCCAACTGCTAGTAAGATTCTTGAAGCCTACCAGACACTTCCTTCTTCAAGTTTTCATCCTCTAACTCCTGAAATGCAATCGATCATTGCTAAAGCTAACAAACCAAAGAAAGGGGGTCAGAAAGGATGCATGAAAGGAGAAAAGAAACAAAGTACTAAAGAGGGTCCATCCAAACCTGCTAAGAACCCCAAGAAGTGAAAGGAACAAGTTGGTTCATCTGTAGCAACTCCTACTCCAACAAAGAAGCGAAAGATAAATAAGGCAAATCGTAGGTCCAAATCACCAACTCCAAGTGAAAGAAAACATTCACAATCTAATACTCTATCACACGTTTGCATTGAAGGGGATGAGACTGTCCAAAACGAAGATATTGCGACAAATTTACAACCTGAGGTTTCGTAGCCAATTTTGACGCATCCTGAGGTAACTTTTCAGATTCCTGTTTCAGTTCCTATTTCTACCGTCTTCATTGAGACTATCTCTGTTCCTTCTCCCACTACCAATATTTCCAGACCAATCTCTATTTCTCCATGCCCACCTGTCTCATTAGGTGTTTCGCAACCCATAGCAATTTTCACTGATTCCACCACCACACCAACAACAATTGTTGAACCTCCTGTTTCTATCAACGCATTTGATGCGGTAACAAGAGCTTCAGGTTTCGCAACTGGTCATATCTCACCACTCATTTCCCTTGTTCACCGAAATGACCCAGATATGATATATGGTGATTATGACGTAGACTTCTCAGGATTCACCTACAGTCCATTCAACATTAGGACTGAAAGTGATGACAAAGCTCCCGTCACGAGAGCACAACTCAAGGCAATACATGAAATTTTGGACTCACTGTTTCACTCTTCAAAGACATCATCCACTAATGATTATTCTCAAGCTACAGTCAAGTCCCTTCTTGAGACACTTACCAAAGAGTACTCTGATGACCTTGAGAAATGAACAAGGCGGTAGATGCTTCTGCCACTGTCTGCAACAACACGGCCGAAAAAGTCGATAAACTAATTACTGATGCCACTGCATTCATGGAGAAGTTCCAGATCTCTTTTGAGTCCAACACTGCGAAGGCAAATGAATTCATTTCTAGCCTGGGATCCTCCCTTAAAATGAGAAGGCGAAACTTCAAGAGGTTTGCACTGGTCTTAAATCTGACCATGTCGAGTTCCAGTCATCCATCTCCATGCAAATATCTAAGCTTCAAGATGATCTCCAAATGGAAAGAAAAATAATGGACGCTCTTGCTATCAAGACAGAAAAGGTGAAAATTTTGACAGTCAAACTCGAGAATGCTGAGAAACAAGTTAATGATATGGTATTCGAGAAAACAGCTATGCAAAACTATACCTTGGACATTGATGGCATGCTTTTGGATATCATTGAGACTTGGGACTCAATGATTACAATCACGGTGAGGAAACATCTTACTGAGAAACTAAGGCATGTCTTCGTCATGCTTCATCGATTGGAGGGTGTTTAGGAATCTACCTCCATTTCGAAACAAAGGGAGAATAATCCAAGAAGGATGACCCCAAGACTTCAGCCTAGCCTATTGTCAAAGGTGAATATGAGCCTAAAGGAAAAGAAGAACTTTTCACTGAAGAACCTATTATTAGCCACAGCGAAGACGAAGAGCCTGATGAAAACGAGCTCAAAAGAAGAAAAGCACGTGAAGCTGAAATGGATGAGCATCAAAGGATAGTCCGTGAGGATGAAGCAAAAGAGAAAGCAGAAATAGAAGCTCGGGTCACACTTGAAATCCGAAAGCTCTTATTTACGGAGTTTCGCGACTTACGTTAAGCACGACAACTCTGAATTATACTTCCTTTTTTTTGGTTCGCTTGACGAATATTATTTAAAATATTCCAACGGGCTTAAATCCAGCCAAAAATATTTTGAGATAAATTTGGCTAATTTCTTATGTGCTTAATTACAGAGACAAAACAATTGGAAATTTTGGGTTGTCGCAATCCGGCTGAAGGCCGAGAGAAAAGCCCAGACAAACTGAAGGCCCGATGAGGCAGTCCAAACATGCTGAAGGTTCTGACAGTGAGCCATATAGACTGAAGGTCAGGTGAGGCGGTTGAGTTATGTCGTAGATTCTATATGCATATTGTTTGTTTATGATATTGTTCTGTTGTATGGTGTTGGTATTTTGGGGGAACTCACTAAGCTTCGGGCTTATGGTTGTGGATTTTGTTTCACGTACTTCGGATGACCGCGGGAAGGCGAAGGCTTGATCATGCACCTCCTCACATTTTATGTAATATTTTTGGGATTCTTTGATGTTATACTATTTGAAAACAATTTGTAAACAATGAATGGTTTTTGTGATATTTAAAAAGTTTAAAATTTTCATGAATTTTACGGATGCTACAAGTTGGTATCAAAGCCTTGGTTTGAGTGAATTGGAGGAACACTCGTGTGAATCCAATCTTAAACTAGAGAAAATATTTTTAAAATGATTTTCAAATGGATTTCAAAATACTAAATGAGGATGCGAAGTGTACGATCAGTCGGAGCCAGTAAGTAGACCCTAAAATACCATGCTATTAATTGATCTTGTGATACGTTAGAACAGTATCCTAGTGATAGGATATGGATCCTCGGGAATCATATGCTAGAATTATCTGATCTTTGATGCCTTATCTCTTGTAGAGAACTTGATTTATTGTTGTATGACTCTTTCATTTGTGAACTAACTATTGAGTGAATATGCTAAGTTGCATGATATGTGGGTGAAATGGTCTTAAGGTAAAGGATTTGGTCTTGCTATTTAGCTCTTGTCTGAGTCCAACTGTTGTAGGATTAAATCTTTTAGTCTATGATTGTTTAAGTTGCGTGGCATGTGATTGTATTCATGCAATAGTTAATTGGCACCAATGGGGTCGTGTGGCAATTAGTGGTGGGATGGATTATGTGGGTTCAGTCAACCAGTTATGAAATATTTAGCCTTCCTCTAGGAGTGAGGATTGAGCGCTCGCCTATGTTAACGAGTATTGATAGGGTGTTGTGATGATCCCTGAGATGAATACGGGTAGGCGTCGAAGGTAGTATGGGCCCGTACTACTAAAAGCACAGGACCCATACGCGTAACAAGGTAGTTATAACCCCTAGGGTCTCGCTGGGAGTTAGTTCCCCATTATTTATATGGATTATATGATATCTTCTTGGTGTATTTTCAGTATGGTGGTTACAAGGCGATTTGAGACTGGATCAAGGTCGGGATCAAGAGCTAGCGGTCAGGGCGGGCCAGCATTGTTTAGGACCATTGGTTAGATGACACCAAATGAGTTGGATGCCAGGATTTAGGAGATCCTGTACGATGAGTTTGCTGCACTATACTTGGCTAAGTTACCGAAGATTTTTGGGTCTATTAAGACCGCTATGGTGGAGTACATTGATGAGCGTTATGCAACCATTGCTGAGACGGCTGCCATTACAGCCGTAGCAGCTGCAGGTGGTGGGGCTGGTCGGGCTTTTCAGTATCAGGACTTTGATAACACGAAGCCCCCAACTTTCAATGGAGTACAGGACCCGATCATAGCCATGAGGTGGCTATCTAATGCTAAGGTATGCTTTTTCACGTGTTCATGCCTTGTTGACCAGAGGGTCAGGTGCGCTCTGAACCTGCTGAGGTCCGGAGTGAAGGATTGGTGGAGACTTGTTATGGTTTCGTATTCGGATGGGTAGAGAGCTGCGATATCATGGAATCAGTTTAGGGAGATGTTTCGCACTTGCTACATTCCTCGGGTTGAGCATGAGAGGTTGGCTCATGAGTTTTTGGATTTGAGATAGGGATTGGAGTCGGTGACTGAGATCACCTGGATGTTTACTGAGCACGAGATGTTTTACCCTGAGTTTGCTTCTGAGCAGGCTCAGATGACTCGTTATTTGAGCATGCTTAAGACAGATATCAGGCAGTTTTTTCTACTTAGAAGTGTGATACCTTGTTGGAGCTGCAAGAGGCCGCCCGAAGCGTGAGCTTGGGATAGAGCTTTAGTTGAGGGAGCAGCGGCAGGCCCCGGCACAATCGCAGCCGACCCCAAATCGGTTCAAGGCTACTGATTCTAGGTCTGGAGGTCAGCGTGGTCGTACTTGTGGAAAGTGCGAGAAGGTTCATGTCGGAGCTTGTCTATCTAGTGGTGTGTGCCACAAGTGTGGCAGGGAGGGGCACTTTGTGAGGGATTGTCACAAGTTAGCCCCGTTTTAGGATATGAGGATGTGTTACCATTGCAATCAAATTGGTTATGTGAAGACCAACTGTCCATTGCTCGCCACTAAGCCCATACAGGCCCCCGTGCCAGGTACGTTGAGGATCACCAACGGGGGTCAGGGTAGGGCGGACCCCCGAGGGCTCGAGGTTGTGCTTTCCAGCTCACTGTAGATGAGGCCAAGATAGTACCAGATATGGTGGTTGGTATGTTTCTACCCCTTATCTCATTGATTATGTTTATTTTATGCTCATATGTTTGAACCTCTATTAGGTACGTTCTTAGTGAAATCTTTTCCTGCTCTGGTACTATTTGACTCGAGAGTGAGTCAGTATTTTTTCTCCCAGTCTTTTAGTAGGGAGTTTGGGTTGCCCCTAAGAGAAATAGAGTGTCCGTTGCGAATTTCCATAGCCAAAAAACATGATTTTTTTGCTTCATTAGTCTATCGAGGTTGCGTTCTAGAGATATTTAGGGTGTATTTTCCGATTGACTTGATTCCGATTCTCATGGGGGAAGTTTGCGTGAAAGTGGGTATGAACTAGCTGAGTCGTTTCGGTGCCATGATCGACTGTGAAGGTTAGCGTGCGGTGGTTCGAACCCCAAGTGGGGTAGAAATGGTTATTTATGGAGAGGGCACTAGGATGTGTTCAGGATTTTGCTCAGCAGCCAGGGCTCGACAATATATTCAGCATGGATGTGCAGGTTATTTGGCGTATGTTGTGGATATGGGGGTCAGGGATTAGGTCTCGGTTTCAGATGTTCCATTCGTCATAGAGTTCTCTGATATATTTCCAGAGGAGTTACTCGGAGTGCCTCCTAAGATCCAGGTCGAGTTCAGGATCGACCTTGTGCTAGGTGTGGCCCCTATCACCAAGGTGCCATACCAATTGGCACCGCCTGAGACGCATGAGTTGTTATCTCAGCTATAGGAGCTGCTAGGAAAGCAGTTCATCTGTCTGAGTAGTTCTCCGTGGGGAGAACCGATCCTTTTTGTCAAAAAGAAGGATGGTTCACACCGGATGTGCATTGATTACCGGGAGTTGAACAAGTTGACAGTGAAGAACCGTTATCCCCTCTGAGGGATAGATAACCTCTTCCATCAGTTACAGGGGGCATCTTGGTTCTCCAAAATAGATCTAAGGTTCGGGTACCATTAGGTCAGGGTGAAGGAGGTGGACATGGAGAAGACTATGTTCCAGACTCGTTACGAACATTACGAGTTCTTGGTGATTCCGTTTGGGCTCACCAACACACCTGTAGTATTCATAGACCTAATGAATCGGGTATGCAGGCTGATGCTCGATCGCTCAGTTATTGTGTTCATCGATGATATCTTGGTGTATTCCAAGACCAGAGAGCAGCATGAGGAGCATCTCCTTAGCTTCTGGGAGTTCGGAGGTGAGAACGGATTTACGCCACGTTCTCGAAATGTAAGTTTTGGTTGCGAGAGGTTCAGTTCCTCGGACATCTCGTTAACTAGGAGTGGATTTTGGTCGATCCGGCCAAAATTGAGGTTGTGATGCGGTGGTAGGTTCCGAAACCACCCTCGAATATCAGGAGTTTTCCGGGGTAGATTTCCGTTGGTCCCTGATCAGCAGATAGAATTTGAGACCCTACGACAGTGACTATGCGATGCTCTAGTCTTGACCCTCCCGGAGGGAGTGGAGGACTTTGTGGTTTTCTGTGAGGCATCCATCACTGCATTGGGAGCAGTCCTCTTGTAGAGAGGGCGGGTGATAGCCTATGCGTCGTGGCAGTTGAATCCGCATGAGACGAGATATCCCACACATGATCTTGAGTTGGGAGCGGTGGTGTTCTCTCTCAAGATCTAGAGGCATTACCTCTATGAGGTCTGTTATACCACCTTCACAGACCACAAGAGCTTGAGACATATTATGGATTATTCGAACCTGAACATGAGGCAGCGTAGGTGGATGGACGTTGTCAACGATTATGACTGCGAGATCCTTTACCATATGGGTAAAGCGAACGTGGTCGCGGATGCCTTGAGCTACAATTCGGCTGGATCTTCTATTCCAACATCATGTATGAGGATTTCCATGGACTCTCCACTTGTAGGATTAATTAGAGAGGCTCTGACCAAGGTAGTGTGAGAGGAAAATTGGAAGATCGAGAGGATCAGGGGCGAGGTCACCAGATTTGTCCAGGACAACTGTGGGTTGTTGACATGTTGCGGTCGGGTGTGCGTCCTGATGTCGGGTGGGGTTAGACAGATCGTGCTGGAGGAGGCTCACAAGTCCCGCGTCTCTATTCACCAGGGAGCCACCAAGATGTATTGTGATCTAAGTTTGAGTTATTGGTGGTTGGGCATGAGGAGAGAGATCGCTTGGTACATCAAGAGGTGCTTGACCTACAGGATGGTCAAGGTCGAGCATCAGAGGCCGCATGGCAAGCTGCAGCCTCTGGAGGTTCCCATGTGGAAATGGGAGCAGATTGCGATGGATTTCATCACCAAGTTTCCAAGGATGGAAAAAGAGATATGATGCTATATGGGTCATTATGGATCGATTGACTAAGAGTGCCCATTTTCTGGCAATTCGGGAGATTTGTCGGCCAAGAAGTTGG